GAATCAAGGAAGAACAAGGTTTCTGGCCTGAGCAGTTAGCAACTAGTGACAGGTGGTGCCACCTCAGGGTGGGAAGAGGAGCAGGTTTTGACGGAGGGTGGAGGACTCCTGGAGAGCAGAAGTCCATTCTGGACAGGCTGGGTGTGAGGCGCCTGGTGTTAGACATCCAAGCGAAGAGGACAAGGAGGCAGTCGGGTGTCCTGCGTTAGCTGCGGAGGTGAGAGGGGGCGATGCGCATTGGGCCATGTCGGCTTACAGAGGCATTTCAAGGAATGGGCCCGTGTTAGGCAAAATAGCACAGTGGCTCTCAACCTCGTGGATGCTACGCCCTCTTTTTAATGACAAATATTTTGGTGATAACTACCCCCCCGCCAATTATCTTAAAATGAAACTTAATGGTTCAAAAAACTACCAACACATAATTTTTTTAAATTGGCAATGCCCTACCCATAATGTAAAAGAAATAAAAGGAAAGTAGTTGGTAATAAAATGTTTCAATATGTGAGTTCCTGATCACAGGCTACTAGAAGCTACAATGATGCAGCCCCTGCCGGCACCACTCCTGTGGAACCTGCAGGCGGTGACGGCCACAGGGCAGCCTGCCACAGCCCATGGGCAGCTCCAAGCCCCTGGCTGCCGTGGCTGCTGTGGCTGCAGGTGGCTTTTCCAGACTGGGAGCTCGTGGTACCCTTTTATCAAAAACAGTTCAGCCTCCCCTCAGTGTACATAGTACCTAAAACTTAGGAAAAACTGCTCTGTTGCCTGGAAAACAGAGTTGGGTTCTTTATAAGCAGATCTTTAACCTACAGGAATCTCAGAGCCATGCAGGCTGCAGAACAGTTCTCAGTTATGTGCACTGCCCCCCTCAGAGCCCCACTCACTAAAAGGTAGGAGTGTCCCTGCTGACCAGCCCCATGGGTGCCCAGAGGCCCCTGAAGAGAACCAGAGCCTGAGGGTGCCCCTTGGGACACGAGCCTGTGCCAGCTCCCAGTTTGCCTTGGGGGAGAGGAAATGACACCTCAGGTTCCAGAGTACAGAGACAATGTTGATACTCCCTGCAGAGAGGACTGGGAGGGGAAGTTGGGGTGCCTCTGATCAGGCGGTTCTAGGAAGGCGTCAAGGCAGTGGCATTTCTGTTGGGTGTCGGGTGGGAACGTATCAAAGGAGAAGACGGGAGGAGGGGCACAGATGAAGCAGCAGGTGGGATAATGCTGGACTGGGGGTGGGGGCGGTCTGCCTGGTCTCCCAAGGGCCTGGCATGCTCTGGGCACTCCCTGGGGTTGGCTGGGTGATAGGCAGCAGGGAGTGGTTTAGTTGGGTAAGACCCTGTGGCAGGCTCCATGTCTGTGACACTGGCTGTTCGAGTCTACGGCAAGGTCGGTGTTGGTTTCCTGGTCCATTTTACTGATTATTATTATTATTACTATTATTATTAGAGAGAGAGAAGAAGGGAGAGGGAGAAACATCAGTGAGAGAGAACATCGATTGGCTGCCTCTTGCACGCCTCTCACTAGGGATCGAGCCTGTAACCCAGGCATGTGCCCTGACCAGTGGCCTCTTGGTACATGAGTCAATGCTCAACCACTGAGCCACACCGACTGGGCTCCTGGTCCATTTTAACACCTTAATGACCAGATTGGTCCCCTGAAACCACAGGCCCACTCTCTTGCAACGAGTCATCACCGTATGGAGAACTTAGAGTGCGCCACGTGGGGTTGTAAGGCCAGCATGGACCTGGCAGGCCCTGTCTTCGTGGAGCTCACTGCCTCCGAGGGACACAGATCATCATGCCCTGCCCAGGTCCGATGGAGGAATCATGGGGGACCTATGAAAGCAGCCTGTGTGTCGGGGGCACCCATCACATTGGGAGGAGGGGTTCCTGAGGAAGCAGCATTTGCGCTGAAGATGAGTAGATGTGCTGAGAAAGTATGGAGGGAGGGCAGAGCGCCGGCTTCTCCAGGCGCAGGACGGAGCCTGGTTGCTCGGGAGCTGAAGGTGGCTGGCCGGTGGGACTGGGGCACGAGGGCCGCAGCTGAGCTGAGGCCGGCAGGGGCCCGATCGGCCTTTTTAGCCTAAAGAAGGGTTTTGATCTTTATCTTAAGAGCACTGGAAGCTGCAGAAGGGCTGTAAGCAGTGGTCTGACATGATCAGATTTATGTTTTAAAAAGGTCACTTTGGTAGCAATTCATGGAGAACAGCTTGAGACGACAAGAGAGTGGATGTGACCAGGAGCTCGGCTGCCAGCGCCCGTGCTGGGGGCAGGCTCCTTCCTGCTCCTGTCTGCCCCATCTCCCTGCGGGACAGGCCTGGGTGGGTGGGGTCAGATGGCCCTCACTCTGCCCAAGCCACCAGCGCTGCCTTTTCATCCTTCTAGCCTCAGACCTGGGACCGCGAGCCCTGCACCCGGTGACCATGGAGAGGATGGGCTTGGCCCACCAGCCCCTGAGGTGAGGACTCCGCCGAGGCTCCGATAACCATCCTGATCATGGAGTGAAGAGAACTCCTAACCAGGCCACGTTCTCGCTGAAAGTCGTGGCGCAGGCCCAGCAGCTCTTCCTGCCCGTCTTCAGGAGAGGTGCCTGCCCCTGCCGACCCCAGCTGGGAGCAGCTGCTTCCACCGATGGGGAGGTGGGCCCTCGACTTGGCCTTTGTGTGGAGGGCAGTGCTGACCCTGGGGCTGGTCCTTCTCTACTACTGCTTCTCCATCGGCATCACCTTCTACAACAAATGGCTGACAAAGGTGACTGGGAGGCGGCACCGCGGGCCGGGATCGAGGTGGCGGGGCTACAGTGCCCCTCATACTTAAAAACAGGAAGGCACGGGCTTCAGCCAGTCACGGTAGTGACGGGGCAGAACCCCACAGCCAGCACTGCCATGCCAGGGATTCTTCCGAAATATTTGCATCGAGGGGAAATTAGGGGTCCACGGGGAGGAGCTGGGGAGACTTGGGGAGCTTACACAACAGCTGTGGACCAACAGGTAGAAAAGCAGTTCAGTCCTCTAATAGCTGGCACAGCCATCCTGGCCCACGCTGCTGTTCCTTGGGTGTGGGCCATGGGAGGGGCTGGGGCAGGTAGCTAACAGGCTGTTGAAGGTGGAGACGGCACTGAGCTACAGTTGAGCCCCATTTGTCCACCTGCTGCCTGTGTGACCTCCAAATTGGGACTAAGTCTCTGATGCCAAGTGATTTTACTGTGGGTGAAAACCCCTGCAGAGCCCTCAGCAAGCACCGAATTAGGGCCCCTACCACTGCGGGGGGTGGCGGGGGGGAGCCTGGTGAGGGCTGCTGTCTAACTGCGCCTGGCCGGCCGGCTGTGCTCTGGGCCCCGTACAGAGCTTCCACTTCCCCCTCTTCATGACGATGCTGCACCTGGCCGTGATCTTCCTGTTCTCCGCCCTGTCCAGGGCGCTGGTCCAGTGCTCCAGCCACAGGGCCCGCGTGGTGCTGAGCTGGACCGACTACCTCAGAAGAGTAGCTCCGACAGGTGTGTTCCTGTGGGGAGGGCCTGGCAGGAGGAGGGCTGCTTGGGAAGCCATAGGCCGGGAACGAAAGGAAGTCTTCTGGCCTAAAGCTCAGGTCCCTCTTTCCACCTGCCCTCCCCGCCCCACACCTGCCCCACGTGTACTCTCCAGCTTCCCGCTTCCCCCACGCACACCACACAGAAGCCCCAGTGCAGCGGTAGCCTTGTAGTTCCCTTGACCTTGAACATGCACACTGAGCTGTGTTTCCAGGCCTGGAGGGAGTGGTGAGCAGAGCGTGTAGTCCCTGCCTTCGGTGCTGGGCAGGGAGGGCTCCCCAGAGCAAGGGCTGAGTGGGCTGAGACCTGGAGGGCGAGTGGGACGGGTGGTCCGGGGTGGGGAGGGTTTAGTGCATGTGGGAGTCTGCAAGGGAACTGAAAGTGTCTTGGGGCGCTGAGGACTCAACGTTGGTGCGAGGAAGTGAGAGGGTGGAAGGGCTCAGATCCTGGAGGGCCGGGTCCTCCTCCGTGACCACTCTGAAGCGTTTACAGGATCAGGTTGTATCTGTCAGCAGCGGGGTATGCAAAAAATCAAGCAAGTGGGAAGGACACAGACCCCAGCCAGTCAGAATGCACTATAGCCTGAATGCTGGAGCAGACCCCCCCACCCCCCGCTTTTTTGGGGTTAACCTTTTAGTTGCTGGGTAGAAAGGAAGGCCTGAAGGCCCCAGAGAAAGTGAGGGGACTCATGGAAGTGTTCTAATCACTGGTGCCCCCAAGCCACCTGCCCTTCCTCCCCGGCGTGTCCGGTGGGCGCCCTGTGTCTCCACAGCACTGGCTACAGCACTTGACGTGGGCTTGTCCAACTGGAGCTTCCTCTATATCACCGTCTCACTGTGAGTATCGCCACCTCCCTCAGGCGCATGTTCTCTCTGTCCGTCTGGCTGGCTGTCTGCACCCCTGTCCGACAAGCCAGCCACTGCACCACTCTCTGAGACCAGCCGTCCTCTCTGAGCTCCTCCCAGCAGCTTTCCAGAAACTCACCAGCTTCTTCCTCACGCTGGGCACAGTCGATGCTGGGCCCACTGCCGGGCGGCCTGGGGAAGCCAGGAGCTCAAGCAGAACGGGCGGCCGTGGCCCGGGAGGAAGGCATGTCCGCGTGCAGTGCACGCAGCTGCAGAAGGGAGGCCGGCAGTGACTTCTTACCTCCGGGGTTGTGCCTCAGAGCACAGTCCCTGCCTCCTCTTTCTCTCATCCTTTCTTCCTCGACCTGGTCTCCGCTGAGGGCGGGTGATAACAGGCCTCGGAGAGCTCAGTGTCAGACCTGCAGCCTTTCCTCCTGCTGATAATTACAGAGATTCCCTCGATTAAAGGTCACGGATCGGCCAGATGACTCGGGCCACCTTCCTTTGGTCTTTTGTACCCAGATTGTCCTGCTGCTCTGAGCAGAGCCCGTGGCCCTCAGGGAAGTCAGGAAGCTCCCCCTTTCCAGCCCACTGACTGTACTGTGGGGTCCGTTCCGGATGGCGGGTCTGAGCCCCGGCTTCCAGCCGTGCACAGTGGTCATTTTCGCTTCCAGGTACACAATGACCAAATCCTCAGCCGTCCTCTTCATCTTGATCTTCTCTCTGATCTTCAAGCTGGAGGAGCTGGTGAGGCCCCAGCATCCCCTGAGTCCCTCCTACCCCCTCAGGTGGTAAGCATGAGAAGGGGTCTGAGTCACTGTGACAGAAGAGAGGAGCCCAGCCCAGGGGCAGAAGCCCCTGACAGAAGCTGAGGAAGGACCGAGCACTGGGCACTACCAAGAAGTTTAGAAAGCGGTGTG